AACTAGAATTTCTCTTAGGATTTCCAGAATAGAGTTTGTTTTCTCATTTCTACCTGCTCATTATTTGGTCGGGCCTCCGTTTGCACGATCTACTGCATCAGTGCAGCGTGGAACGGAGGCGATCAGTCTGTGGTTCTGCTGGATTGTTCAAGAAGCCCAGATTATTGTGATGGCGGCTTTCATGTCATCTTAATTTTTTCTTCTGGTGTCTTTTGACATGTCAGATTAATCTTCTAGGTTATTGCTGTTGCTTTTGTAGTTTCTTCTGCTTCACTTTTTTTCTTCCATTTTGTGATTATATTTGTGCACCTCTCTGGGTGAGCGTCCAGTTTCTATAGTAATGACCTTTTGTAGCTTATCCTCTTCTTCGATTCTGTTGACAGCAGTCTTCCCAGTGTTTGTGTTGCCTTGTGACAGAATGAGACCATTTAGAGGTTCAGAAAACCTTTTCAGGTGTTTTGAGTTAGTTTGCTGATTACGGTGCAACTCCATGAGTTTCCAGTGTTTTGACTTTTTCACAATATTCCCAATATTTTCTGAGACAGAATTTTGGGTTTTTCTTATTCATAAGCCAGACCCATCAAACATGCTATAGATACTTGAATTTGTTTAGTAAAGGTTAACTTTCTGAAATAAGTGACACAAATATTGAACTTTTTCACAATATAGTAATTCATAGAGATATACCTGTAAATGAGTGTTCTGTTAGTATTTATTCTGCTCCTCGTGTTTCAGCTCACCAGCTCAGGCGCCCCCTTCTGGTCTGGTCCAAAGAGATGTCCTCACCCCTTAGATTTCAGCACTAGCAACGTAAGAAAGATTTTCAGGATATCTACTTCTTAGATTATAAGATTAAAATTTTTCTTTGCGAAGAAGGTACTAATTTTTTCTTTTTTTATTTTTTAAAGGACCTCCATGTGGATTATGTATTGGCAGCTGCAAACCTGTTCGCCCAGACGTATGGCTTGCCAGGTAGCACTGACCGAGCAGGTGTGGTCAAGATCTTGCAGGACGTCAAAGTGCCAACTTTTACCCCTCGCTCTGGGGTTAAAATTCATGTCTCTGATCAGGAGCTGCAAAATAGCAATTCCTCTGTTGGTAAGCAGTGCAAATTGAAATAAAGATGGACTTCAGTCAGTCTTCATTTTAAGCTAATGTAGTTTCAAATAAAATGTTTTTTTGTATTTTTTTAAACAACTTTAAAAAAGACATGTCATGCATCTCTGAATGCTTTCGGAGTTCTGAGTGAAATCTCTTGACACACAGATGACTCCAAACTGGAAGAACTGAAGTCTCAGCTGCCTACGCCGGAGTCGTTCCAGTTCAAACTCAGCCCCATCGACTTTGAAAAGGTACTTGATCCTGGGATCTGTTCTGTCCGATTAAACTGCCTGTGAGGAAATCTGCAATTTAACAATTTCATGTTTATTATCTTATATGTCACAGGTTAGTTTAATAGGAGAAGCTATGGGTCAAAAGGAAAATGCTCTTTTAAAATATGGAAATTAAGAATGGTTTATTGGTGGCTGTTCCAGCTGTGACAGATTGGGTGCATAAGTTGTTTATATTTATAATTTCTGAGATTATAGTTTTAGTCAATGGAAATATTGGAAAATAAGATGAATTTGTTTGTTTGCTCTCAAGTTTTTTGGAGTACTACAGAAAGTGTCCAGTTTTTGTCTTGGTTCTATTAACTCAGTGGTTGCAAAGTGGGAAAAACATCTCATTGTTCGGATTGGAGAGCACAACAAGTTTAAATGTATATGAACCATTAGGCCTGTCACAACAACAAACTTTACTGGAGGATAAATTGTCCCATAAATTATTCCGATAAATCATAATATTGCCATTTTGTGACCTTTTAAGTAATATATTGATAACGGTTCAATAATGCAAGTTCGCCTCTCTCAAGCACAACCTCAAATTTTGTAAATGATACTCCCCACTGAAATTGGTGGACATTTTAAACATCCAAAACACAATAACCATAAACTATAAATAAAAAGAAAGTATAAAAAAAAACACAGACACGTGTGTAAACAAAATTGCTCTTTAAAAAATAAGATGGAAATTATCAAGGTCATTTTAATTTATCATGGGACTAATCATTTATTGTGACAGGTTTACCTGCTACCATTTATCTTCTTGTTTTTGACTGTCCACAGGATGACGATGCAAACTTTCACATGGATTTCATCGTGGCAGCCTCCAATCTGAGAGCGGAGAACTACGACATTCCTCCTGCTGACAGGCACAAGGTGGGAGACATTGGATTATTGTTGTTTTGATTACCTCCTCATCTCTTAGATTAAAATGTACTTGCTTTTGTTGATGGTGGATCAGTGTTTCACATTTTTGTCATCTGTTTTCTTTTGTTGGTTGGTTAGAAATTCCTGGGTTTCTTTGTAATTGTGTAAGACTTATCTCTCTCTCTCTCCCTCTTTTTTTATTCATTTTTTAATGCATGCTTTTTTTTTTCTGTCCATTCTAGAGCAAGCTGATTGCTGGCAAGATCATTCCTGCTATTGCCACAACTACAGCTGCAGTGGTTGGCTTAGTGTGCTTGGAGCTCTTCAAGATAATCCAAGGGCATAAAAAACTGGATTCGTTCAAAAATGGCTTCATGAACTTAGCCCTACCTTTCTTTGCCTTCTCTGAGCCCATTGCTGCTCCCAAACACAAGGTAAGCACGTATGTATTCTGTCTGAGTCTTAACACACACAACATGCATTGTAAGCCTAGTGATTATCTGCCATCGCACTGTGAAGCTCCAATGATGATCCAGCCATGCTAATACTGATACATTAGGCATTCTGCTTGGATGTAAGTGAGTTCAACTTACCTTCTCACGCTGATGGTATCAGTGTGTGCTGAGGAGAAATGTTTTTTTGTTGTTGTTTTTTTATCTAGACAAACTTGTTCACACATTGCAGGTAGAGATCTACGCTGTAGATAACCTTTACTCTCGATGGTTCATTTGCAGTACTACGAGATCGACTGGACTCTGTGGGATCGCTTTGAGGTCAAAGGGCTGCAGTCCAACGGGGAAGAAATGACACTCCGACAATTCCTTGACTACTTTAAAGTAGGTTCAGCTCCTTTCCTCCATGTTTGTTTGTTTTTTTTTTGTCTACAATATCCCTGATGATTTTTTTCCCCCCTTTTGTCAGAATGAGCATAAGTTGGAGATCACCATGCTTTCTCAGGGAGTGTCCATGCTGTATTCATTTTTCATGCCTGCTGCCAAACTTAAAGAGAGACTGGACCTACCGTGAGTGTACAAATACAATAACAAGTACAAATACTTACCGCAGTGATCTTATTCTAAGGGTTGTTCTCCTTCGGAATGCTACATAAGACAATTGGTCTAGGATATCTAATACTAAATGTTGTGGTATGCACAATCATAAGGATAATACCAAGCTGATTGTTAGAATAGAGTAGAAATTCACTTGTTGCAGCAGCACAGTAACAAAATAATAAACCATAATAATGGTTGTTCAGAGTGCTGCATACATAGAGATGAATTGATATTTAATAGTGGTTTTCTCTTTTAATTTATTGGCTCAGTCTCATTTCTCCTTTGTTTTGCAGAATGACTGAGATTGTGACTAAGGTGTCCAAAAAGAAGCTGGGCAAACACGTGAAGGCCCTGGTGTTTGAGCTGTGCTGTAACGACCTGACGGACGAAGACGTGGAAGTGCCCTATGTCAGATACACCATCCGCTGAGCCCCACACTGAGCCCACCCACCGGAGGGTGGGAGATGCAGGGGGAGGGCAGCAAAAAGGGGACTTTTCTGAAGTGGGTAGCTTGATCCAAGTCCGCTCTACTGGATCAATCAGGGTTTTTATTTTTTCTGTTTTCTCCTTGTTTTCTTTTTTGTGGGCCTGGGGTTTTTGCGTAAACCTGTGCCTGACTGTACATAACCCCAGTAAGCTGACTAAAGGAGACCAGTATGGGTTAGGGATCCAGTTGGCGCTCTATGGTGGGTGCAATTGAAGGAAGGGAGCATGTATACTGGACATCCTGCTGCTCCTCGGTTGATCAATAAGCCCTGCGTAAACGATCGTCCTCACAGTAAATAAGGGCCATTTTAATCCAGCCCAGCAACCTTCCCTCCACTCTACTCGCTCTCTTTAGTCATCAAAACCCTCGTCTCGTCTTACCTTGTACACATCACAAGTTAAATTTCAAAGTACCTTTTTTATAATTTCCATTTCATTAATTAAAACCAAGCTACCCGAGAAAACAAAGAATGACCATGTAGATATTTTCTGACTGGAAACCCAATGGTATCACACTGGCAGAATGCTCTTCCCAGTCTGAAGTACCCCTTCCTCCCTCACCACAGCACTCTCCAAGGGGCTCTTGCACATGACGTGATTTTTATTTTTATTTTTCCCTTATTTCTCATTATTATTATTTCTTGTGTTTTTGTTGTATTTTATTTTGGGGGAGGGAGATACAAGAAAAAAAAAAGAAAGATTTGGCACACATCTGGTAGTTCATAACACTCGTTTCTATTTTGTTAACTCCAAATAATAAAAACCGAAATAAGCAAGGCAATGAGATGTATCTTGATATGGGAGCACTTAGTGTGATAGTGAATAAACATGTAAAACATGCATTAGAGTGAGTGGTTTTTATTCTGACAAAATTGTGCTTGTGTGTCTTAGTGTTTGTTGGTGTTTGAGGATTTCGAAGCACGGGTGTCTCAGATTGAGATTCATGCGTTTTCCTGTCTGACCTGGTTTGGGGTGATCGGGTTTCATTACAGAGCAGCATTTCTGGGAAACTGCCTCCATCAGCTTATCACCAACCTCTAAATTCAGAGGAAAATCCCTTAACAGATTGCGTTTTATCAAACTTAAAACAGTTCTTTGTCATTTTTTTCCTATATGTAGATAAACTAGTCAATTTGGAGTAGAAAAAAAAAGTCAATCTCACTTCCTGTTTTGGCTCATAGTTTCTAAAGTGTTCTTTTAGTCTACAGCAACGCAGCTTTTAAATAAACTCTAAAGCGGTCCAACGTTCAGGTTGCACCGTGAAGTTTAACGTGAAGTTCTGAACGCTCCTCCCTGAGAAGAGCGGATACGTGATTATGCGTAACAGTAAAGGATGTGGTCTGCTGTGAGATGAGGAAGAAGGTGAGGAGGAAGGAGTACGCCAAACTTTAAACCAGCTCGACGCAAAACTGCTCGGTGGCTGGCCGAACGGAGGAGACCTTCACAGCTGGATCATTTCTCACTTTGAGAGCGGAGCCTTTAATTTCTGTGAAGATGCACTGAGAGGAGGAAGAAGATGGAAGTGGAGGAGACTGGTGAAATGAGGACTTCCTGGTATGGTGGTTGTAGAAATGCACAGTTCTGACTTTGCTTGCTTTTTTTGTTTGTTTAGTTTTTTTTTTTGTTTTTTTTAAATGTGTTTGTGATGAGACTGATCATCAAATTTGTTGGAGGATCTAAAAGAAAAGCTTTTCTTTTTTTGAACAATGACTAAAGTTTTGCTTGATGTTTCCGTTCACCACACTGACAACTGAAATCCCTCCATGTCATAATGCAGTGGTGCATGACCTGCAGCTGAAACTGTTTAGAGTACATTAAAATCCATCTGATTTGTGACTTAAGATTTTTTATTTTTTTTACCCTCTCTTTTTAGGTCAGTGTCAGGAGACACTCACTCTGTCCTCTGTGACCATGCTGGGGTAAGCAACCCTGACCCCTTAATAGAGCATGTATTTGTCACCCAAAGTCTGAAATGCAGTGCATAAATATTCTGCAAAATGTCTGTCTTTAGAAGAAGCGAAAACAAGACCTGATTCCTGAACCAGTCATCAGAATCATAGAGGTGAGTAATAATCTGAAATGCTGCGCACGGTCATATCTCTTGCTTTTCTCAGTAAGTGGCGGAAGCCTGTCAACTTTACCTTTGTGACCACAATGCTGAGTGCAGAACTGACAAAAGCGGTGAACATTATGCGAGATGCTGATTTTAAGAGTAGGTTTCTTGTTTTTCTTGTTTTCTTTTTCCCTTAAGACCTTGTATTGAGTCTACTGGGATTTCAGAAAGTTGCTGGTGTGCTTGCTTTCAATTAATGAATGTCATGTATTTGCATTTTGTTTCCATTTCAACTTTATTCAATTATTGCTGCAATAAATTTGCAGCAGCTGTGGTTAGTGGGGTTAAAAGGAAAAAAAAAAAAAAGCGGCAGACATGTTGTGCTTCACTACTGAGGCACAGTTTCAACTTTCTTCCTCTTTGAAAACCTTGTACAGGAAATGAGAGATGTGCACCATGCAACATCTCAGCACTCTTTAACGTCTTTCTCTTTCATGTCGCCTTCACCTCTCTATTCTATTTTCTGGCCATCAGGATGAGGAGGAAGAGGAAGAAGCGGAAATTATGTCTGATCACAAGGATTCAGAGGTTTGCTTTAAGTTTTTATTTTTCTCTCTCTATTTGAACTGTTTCCAGACTAACCCTATAAGTTTCTGACATTTGTGTGTATTTTGTCCAAGACTCTTTAACTTCTAGCCTTGATCTGTTTCAGGAGCCCAGAAACAAAAAGGTCAAACCTGTGGTAAAGTCCAACAGCCTGACAGGTGTCATAACGCCAATGAAGACTGCTGCTCTTAAACGCATCGGGCAGTCTATTTCGGTAACACACACACACACACACCCCCCTCCCCACACACACACACACACACACGTCCCCGTGTATATTTTGCACCTTGCAATGACGTTAATGTGATTTTTGCAGTCATATACCTCATGCTTTCTCTTTTCGCAGCGCTCCATCAGCTTTCGCACCGATGCCCGACCTTTGCCCCCTGGGCCCCTGCGCGCTCGCCCCAAAGCCTCGTCGTTTCCACGTCGGCGCAACAGCCAGTGTTGGAGCGACACTGTAGAGAGCCATGACCTGACTGCAAAAGAGATCAAACGCCAAGAGGTGTGAATTTGACCATTTTATTACACAATTGTCAATTTTTTTTATTTTTTATTTTTGTCATGCTGTTTTTTTTTTTTTTTTTCTACTCGGGGGAGGCGGGGTTTCTGTGGACGAGCTGTGAGGCTGCGGTCGCAGTGTGGGTGGGATGACAAGCTCGCACTGTTTCTCTGAAGCTGCCCTGCACGGGTGTTAGGAAAGAGGATGTGAGCTGGCACTAAGCGGCTCAACTTCCGCTATTAAACAATCAGCTGTGAGAGCTCATGCGGGGTTTCCGCTTAGTTTACATCCCAGGCAGCGTTGTGCGGAAATTTGTCTTTTATTTCCACCGACATGTCTAAAGTTGCCGTGTGCAACGTTTTGTCCTCTGCAGGTGATCTATGAGCTGACGCAGGGAGAGAGGCAACTCATAGAAGACCTCAGTTTGGTCAAGAAGGTACTTGCTGACACGGAACACAGTGCAGGAAAATATACGTACTTGCTCGCGTTTTCTTAGTTTCCAATGCGTTTTTATGCTTTTAGGTGTACTACGAGCCCATGTTGAAGTTGGATATATTGACAGAAAGTGAACTCGGACAAATCTTTGGGACTTTAGACTCCCTGATTCCACTGCATGAGGGTAAACGATATGAACTCTTTTTCTCAGTGACTAATAATATTTCAGTACGCATCATTTCCTGATCATCAACATGCAGTCAAAGTCTCTGGTTCCAAGTAAATAAGAGGCATCAAATGTGCTTCTTTTAGCCTATTATTTCAGTATAAAACTGATGGATGCATTGATTTCTTTATCATGACAGATACAATTTTCCATTTTGGCCTTAATGATGTGTTGTTGTTGTTTTGTTTTTTTTCAAAAGTTGTCCTTTTAGGTTGAGAATGTTTTTTTGTCTGTTTCATATCAGATCTTTTGGCTCGTCTTGAGCGGCTGAGGGGCTCAGAGAAGACGGTGGGCGAAGTGGGGCCGACTCTGCTGAACTGGGTGAGTGTTTTCATTGCCAGCAAGAGAAGCAAGACGAAGGGGGGCACATTCTATTTCTGGCTTCACACTTCGTCTCGTTCCCCTGGCAGTTCCCCTGCCTGGAAGCCTACGTCACATACTGCTGCAACCAGGTGGGAGCCAAAGCTCTGCTGGACCAGAAGAAGCAGGACAAAAGAGTCGATCATTTCCTGCGCCTGTGTCAGGAGTCTTCGTTCAGTAGGAAATTGGACTTGTGGAACTTCCTGGACCTTCCCAGAAGCCGCCTGGTCAAATACCCACTGCTGTTGAAGGAGATACAGAAGTGCACGCCTCCAGACCACCCAGATGAGGACACGCTGCCCGATGCTGTGAGTATTTTTTATTGACCTGTGGCCTTACAGTGCTGAACTGAGTGGACTTTGAAAATCTGGAATGCTGGGGTGAGGTCTGTCTGCACGTCCTTCGTTCTTAGCTAAACCTCACTATTAGTTTGACGTCATACCCAAAAGAAGTTCTTTCTTTGTGTTTTTGAGGGTTTTGGTTCAGCCTGCTCACACTGTCATTTTTTTTCTATCTTAAAGCAGTTACAGCATTTGAATTTAGAAAAGAATGGGCGAAAAAAACACATTTAGGTGAAAAAAAAAAGTCAAAACATGTAACGTGCAATGTAAAGTAGTCCAATTAAGAATTATATGGTTTTGTGGAGTAATGGTGTATTTGTTATTGAGAGACTATATAAACGAATTATATTTCCATTGAGAACGAACAAACAACAAAAAAGAATGATGCAGAGGATGTTATCGTACCTCATCCTTTCTAACCATTTTCAGTTCTGTTATGGATGAGGCAGGAAGAGATGTTGGTGTTTTGGTTACCAGCAGAATTTAAAATGAAGCTAAACTTAATGGTTAAGATAGATTTTTATCTAGATAACATTATAAGCTGCTCATTTCATTAAGAGGTTTGAGGTTTGAAAGTAAAATCTTAGTGAATCTATGAAATTAATAATAAAAAAAAAAGACTGAAAATTGGGATATGAACAACACTATATTTATCCAAATGATATCTTTCCTCTTTTTAGGCTTTTTGTTACTTTTTTTTTCGAAATAATGACAAATGCGCATGACGAGAAACTTTGCTGCTGACACAAATGGCCCCAGAAAAACATTTACTCTGTGCAATGCTTTGTTGACCACAGCTGGAGCTGATTCAGAGCGTCGTGGCCGAGGTGAACAAAAAGACGGGGGAGGCCGAGTGTCAGTTCTACCGGCGGGGGCTGATATACCTCGAAGAGAGCCAGAGAATACCTGAGATCCATCAGTCCCGCTTCCTCTACTGCCACGGAGAGCTCAAGACCAACAAGGGGCAGGTGTGTGCAGCGTCCCTGACACCAGCTCACACAAATGTGCCTTTATTTGTAAGTCGTAATATCTGTTACCAACTACATTTCTTCTGGCTTTTGTGCAACAGAAGCTGCATGTCTTCCTGTTTGAACTGGCGCTGGTGCTGACCAGACCAGGGGATGACAGAGACGTTAGAGGACAAATGTTCAACGTGTACCGGCAGCCTCTGCCCAACACGTTGATCAATTTAGAGGAGATCCCAGACAGTGAGGCTGGAGGAGGAGGGGCCTTCAGAGGAGCATTCACCGGAGGAAACGACAAAGGTCATTTGCTGTTTTAATATTGGATTAGAAATAAAATGACAGATTTTTTTATTACTTTTTTTTTTTGGGCATTATGGCAGTAATCAAACAAACAAATTAAAAAATCCTGGAATCTCAGAATCTAGTACAAACGTGAATATAAGGCCGAACTATTCTGAATAAGTCAATTTATTTCTGAGCATTGATATGCATTTATCTTTTCTCCCTAAATCTAAACTTCTTTTAAAATTCCCTTTTCATAAAAATGGCAATTCAATACCATAAAGGTTACAAAGCTGTTGGCATTTCATGTTTATGAAACAATTAAAACATAAAAAAAAATATGCATCAAATAATCAGAATTTAACACAGATTTTCAGTTTCTAATGAATTTCTTTTATTTTTTATTTCAAACAGGTTTTCAAAAACAATAAGACAATCAATCGGTAGGACAGAGAAAACATGTGCATACATAACCGAGATCGAAATATTTTGTTTACCACAACTCTTCTGTTTGAAAAGGAGTTGGAAGAAGTGACTCTTCTTTATCTCAATTTACTTGAACTTACCAACTCAATAAGTGTCAAAAATTTTTTTATTAAAGTCATGTTGTGATATTCATGTGCTTGTGAAGAATCACAGGCCGTAAGCAGACCTCAATGTGAGAGTAGTTCTAGCCCTCTGTTAGTTGAACTGAAACCTACAACTGTTTTCACTCAATTTCCTTCCTTCCTCTTTCCGTCACCTTGTAGTGAAGAACTGTTTCCGTGTGAGCAGCAGAGGGCGCTCCAAAGTCAACCCTTACTGCTTGCAGGCCAACGACTCGTTCAGCAAGCAGCAGTGGATCACCTGCCTGCGCCAGGCCATCGTCCAGTCAAGGGACAGGACCGCTCACACCAGCCAGTCGCCGCTCTCGCTGCCCCTTGACCCCGCGCTGTGTCACATAGCGGATCTCAGCCTCAGCTCGGACACGGACATGGCAGACCACACCTGTCGCTGACTCGTGGACCGTTCGCCCGGACGCCCCTCTGGAGAGCGAAAGAAACCAAACCAGATGGACTATTTTATGAACAGTTTTAATTAAAGACTCAGATAATTGCAACAAAAAAAAAATAAATAAAAAAGTTTCTCTATTTGTTTTTCTTTATTTTTGTGATTGTCATAGTGTGCTGACTGTGAACAGTGTTCCTGTTGCTGAATGTGAATGTAAAATGGCAACAAAATGTTTAACCGCCTGTATTTTAATAAAAACTGACAGTTATAAAAGCTCACTGAGGTGTTCATGGGTGGACACATTGACACGTCTATGTATAGCCAACACGACCTGCAGTGAAAAGATTAGAGATGATTATCCTCCCTCCCTGTGTCTGTTTTTCACTCTCTCTTTGGCTCTCTCTTTCTCCCTGACACTCGTGGCAGGACAGGGCAGAGAGGTAGACTTTCAGTTCTATCCCACAAACACAGTGAAACCGTAGACGTCCCCTTTATGCATTTTTAACAGCTCAGCAGATGATGGGAACAGTTTGGTTGGGACTCTTTGTTCAAAGATACAGACCAAAGTGATCAGGTGAGTCCAAAGTGCTCTCTCTTTTTATATAAGTTATATTTCTGTAGAAATAACTGTTTGCTGTAGAGGCTATCTTTATGTGCATAAAACAGTAAGAGGTGCGCATTGATTGGCTGTTAGGTTGATCCTTACCGTACTGCTGGATCCTGGTTACATAACCAAATCTTTTTATATATATATGTATTTTAACATTGGGAATCAGCTGAATTTAGCAATTATTGGTGTTCCTTGTCCAAAAACAATCTTTTAGGGACTTATTTCACTTCATGTGTTTAGTGCAGAATTGGACTCTAAAGGATTATCAAAGCAACCTTGAGTTTTTTTTTTCTGTCTGTCTTTCTTTTCAGCTGTAAATGTTACTTGTCATTCGCAAGGTAAGGCAGGGGGTGTACTCCTCTGTGCTTTGCAACCTGATAAGAAGGGTCGCCCCTCAACATCTTGCTGACCTTTAGTCAGAAGCGCATCAGGGATAAGACACGTTGGCACATCTTCGAACAGAGACTGACCGGTAGAAAAGGATGCCTGGGTCCAGCGGCGTTAACGTGGAGGGCTCCTGTGGGGCCCTGTGTCGAACCCTGGTTTCTCAGAACGGTCTGCAGAGAGACACAGCAGACATCTCCCAGTCTGTTCTCTACACATCCCTGATGGGCCTGCTGCTGGTCGCTGACAATGAGGTGGGGGGAAAAAAACCCACTGCGTTTGGTCTTTACTTTCTCCTCAAATGGCACCGAACATGTCATTAGTGTGGATTTCTATCAAATTTGCTAGAATATTGGCACAGGAAAAGATCATTTGAAAACATGAAGGTGCGATGCTAATCAACACGCACGTGTTTACGCACCTGTCAGCACTCCTTGCACTCTAATAGGATAAAGCCTCAGACTGACCCCCTTTTTTTAGCCTCGCTTGTTATGCTAATGAGATAAGAAGGCTAAATCTGTCCTGCCAAAGTTACACACAGGCCAACATGGCAGGGTCAACGCAGACGGCGAGTCACATAAAGCATAGAACATGGCATACCAGGAACTACATAACAATAATCTGTCTGCAGATACAACTCCACTTTAGAGTCGGGTATAAACTTCTATCACACCTTCTTATTCGTAGAAAGAGCCGCTTACTGTTGGCAGTGGAAGAGTTGGCCTTAGAAACATTGGGAATACAGTAAGTGTCAAAGAGATGGCATGCAAATGTCCCGTAGGTTCTGCAGCAACAGGCTCACGTGTCTTTTCCTTCTGTTTGGACAACAGTGCTTCCTGAACGCAGTGGTCCAGTGTTTGTCTCACACTTGTGTCCTGCGCAACTATTGTCTTCTGAAGTCTTACAAGCATGAGAAGTTTTCAAAAGAGGAGGCGAAGCTCATGGAAAGTGCGTTTCCTACTTTTCTACCTTTTTTTTTTATGTTCTCCACATTTTTTTTTAAATCATGCCTTTTTTTTTTTCATTGTTCTATTGCCAGGTTTCTCTCAGGTGCTCTCAGGCCTTTGGGACATAAGGGAAGGAGACACTGTTGTAAATCCTCGACAGTTTTACAGCGTTTTTAAAGCAGCAGTGCCTTATTTCAGCGGTTACAGGTAAGACAAACAGTTATATTTTTCCATTACAATTTAGTGGAGTTGGGCTATTTGATGTTCATAAATCTATCTAAAGGAGTAAAACCTTTTTCATGGAACAATCCCTTAAAGTTATTAAATGGAAGAAAATGAAAAAAATTGGGCCAGGAACATAGCTCTGTTGAACTCCAGGCTTAACAGTAATTGAACATGATCTGAAGTTTAATTTGGCAACAGAAATCCTAAATGAAAACTGACACACAAACCAATTAGTAGCTTTGCCAGACATGCCTGCCCAACATCAGCTATCAGGACTGTGATTGTGATTTGTGTTCCTGCACATAACGTTTAAAAATCACCGCGTGTGATACTTTGATTATGAAAGAATCTCTGGAGTTGTCCTTGAGATTTCAAAAATGTTTCTGTGTTTGAATTTAATCCAGTCAGCAAGATGCCCAGGAGTTTCTCAGGTTCCTACTGGACAAGCTGCATACTGAAATAAATCGCAGGCCTTATGTGAAAAGGACAGGGAAGGAGCCTCAGCAACAATACGTCAGATTTAGGTACGAACAGAAGAAGACGAATCTGTGCTTGAATCCTGGATCTATCCCGTGTGAATGTGCAACCTATGTTTCCTATTTCTGATCTGATGTAGAATTTCAGAAGAGGCCAATGCCATGTGGAAGAAGCACTTGGAAAGAGATGACAGCATAATAGTAGGTGAGGAGGTCAACCTTGTCTTTGTCTTCAGCTGGATTCTGAAGCAGAAAATGACGTTGAACTCTGCCCCGCTCTTGACAGATCTTTTCTCAGGCCAGCTGCGGAGTTCACTGCACTGCTCGGTTTGTTCGCACTACTCCAACACGTTCGATGTGTTCTGTGATCTGTCGTTGCCCATCCCTAAACGGAGCTCTGCAGGGGAGGTCACCCTGCAGGAGTGTCTGGACCTCTTCTCTCAGGAGGAGAAACTTGACAAGGAAAACTCACCAGTAAGAAAAAAAAATTCACAGGTTTTGAACTGAACGTAGTTCCATTTAAACAACCAGATTTACTTGAAACAACAGATCTGGTCATTATTATTATTACTATTTTTAAATGTATGTTGATTTCTGCGTCTTCCAGATGTGTGAGAGATGTAACAGGCGTACAGAGTGCACCAAGCGGCTTTCCATCCAGAGGTTTCCTCAGGTTATTGTAATCCGTATCCTTGGCAACAACTTCTGCTCGAATTCATTTCAAAATGAGGAATGGTGTTGGTGTGCAGAAACACATTGTGCGCTTGTACTTAACAGTCTCCGACAGATTTGAACCGTTTCACAACGTCCAGGTGGTCTATCAGTAAAAGCACAGTGTACGTGTCTTTTCCCCTCAAAAACCTGGACCTCGGACCTTACGGACCCGTTGACTGTGGTAACAAAGAGTTTTCAGTACCTTACCTGTGTACATGTTCCACTTGCTACCCATGGTCAGCTGCTTGATCTCCTTTTTTTTAAAAAAAATGGGAGATAAATTGGAGATATAGATGTAAATTGAAACATATGCACCAGGAAAAAAACTACTTAAAATGTGAAGAAAATGGATTTCTATTGAAATCATAATCAAATTTTATTCAAGTAATAACTTACTTAGAAAATTCAAACTGACGTGGTTTACTACTGAACTTGATGGAGTCTATGTTAAACAAGAAAACATGCTGCTATATTGGCATAGATTCAAAAGCATATCCATGGTTGTTTTTAGATTGTATTTGGATTTAAATATAAAATAGATTGTAACCTTAACTCATCAGATTGCAAATATTTTTGAAGGTATATAATTATGTATTTATAGTAGTGGCCCGATATTCGCTCTGGTTGGTTTTGCTTGTTGATGACCAGAGTAAACAAATTCTAGAAAATAAGACACAATTTTTGCGAAACTAAAGGAACTTTCCATTTTTAATGCCTAATCATTTTTTTTCTAAATTTTGAATATATTTTTATAATAAACAAAAGATTGTGTGCTTCAGTCTTGTCTTTGAATACTTTTGCATTTAATTTATGCTGAAATAATTGGTCGTTTTTACAGAACATATTTCAGAGACGAGCCTTAGTTCTGAGAAATGTCTGTTTTTGACTCCACAGGCCCAGTTTTATATGATTTATATGCAATTTGTAACCACGCTGGGACTGTGAATATGGGCCACTATACGGCCTGCTGTCTAGATCAAAGTGGATGGTGCTTCTACAATGACTCCAGGTGAGACTTGAGAGGCTCTAACACCTTGATGATCAGAAGCAGTTTTATGTCAGAACGTCTTCCGTATAAACGTGGTCTTCCGTCTCAGAGCCTCCCTCCTTTTTCTCCATGTGCAGCGCGACCTCCATCACGGAGAACCAGCTTCAGACAAATCAAGCCTACGTCCTGTTCTACCAACGCAGCAGCAGCACAGCCACCGTCAGGAAATAGCCGAGAAGATGCAACCAGTCAGTCACCTCACCTCCGGTGTCCATAGAAACAAATAGAAGCAGCAGCAGTTTCGACCCTGACATCAGCAGCAAAAAACATCTTGATCTCAGTGTGCCTTCTCTGGAACTAAAAGCACCGGGAGAGAGGAGGCATGCTGGTTGTGACAGGTTTTAATGTCAGTCGTGCTTGAGAAGCGTCTCAGTAGCCATTTCGGGGTCTGCATGGCTACTCTCAGGGAGGTATTCATTATGAACAGCTGTTACTCTGCAATTATATGTATGATGTAAGCACTATATACGTGTACATCATCAATCGCGCTTACCGATAGCCCTGACAACCAAATGAAGAAAATATCATAGAAATAGGTCATGACTTTGACATGTATGTAAGAAATAAAATGGCGTCTTGATGATTTTTGTAAATAAATTCTTATAAATCTTCAAGTGGTCACGCAATAAAATGAAACTTTCTGAAAAACGTCTTGTTTTTCCTTTTTCAAAAGTTTTCATTTGAGATTTATGGTTTCTGAGGAAAAGAAAAAAAAGGGGGGTGGACAGATGGCCATTACGTCAGCAAGAATATATAGATAAAGTGTCCGAATGTAAATCTCTACAGACTTACAGTTGAGCACATCCTTCAAGAAAAATAAAAAGAACTAATGAAGGAACAAAGATTTTAGCCCTCTTCCAAAATGATCAAAATCCACTGGCAAGAAGAGATAATTGATTGAATTTATCTTGGAAACCCAATAAAAAATATCTGAATTAGGAAACTAAAATATTATGGAAAGTTAAGTTAAAAGAGACTAAATTAAATTTATCTGTCAAATTTTGAGAGGCATGACTGAAACTGATCTGTTGAACTCCACTGGTTTAGCCTCATTCTTTGAAAACCATTGATTGAATACCGGCTTTTTGCTTCCCTGTTCTACGAAACTGGCATTCAATCAATTCTTCAGCTTTATCTGGTCTGGACGACAGCCTCCTGCTTCTGCCTTGCCTGCTAATTGTAAAATCTCACCAATGAGCTCACAGGAAAGTCAAGTAAAATCATCTGAAAGTGGCCGTCACTTTCAAAAATGAGGCTAAACTAGTAGAGTTCATCAGACCCGTGTTAGCTCCACGCCTTGACTTTGCAGGGTGAGTTTGACACATAAAATGATGAAAGTTTCAGCAAGATGAGATACTGTAACGTCATAAACTCTGCAGGAGCAGACGTTTTATGGAGGGCGATGTGCCTTCCTGTTATCTTGAACCAGTTTACCCATTCTCCTGTATTGTTTTCTTTTTCTAACCCAAATGATGGATGAATGTGAAAACACACAACTCCCTCCAGACGAGTTGTGTATGAGATACACAGAGCAGCGTGTTTGCAACCAACAACTTTGCCGTGGCACATTCAACGTCACTTAAATCTCCTCTCGTTCCCATTTCATTGCTTGATTTGAGCTACAGAAACTTATTTTCCCTGCATCTAAATGCCTAAATGTACCATGATGCGCCAATGTGACTGACTAACAATGAATTGCTAACAAGCAGTTTAGTGGAGACAAATATTAAATAGAGTTGTCAGTATATGAGTAAGTGAGACTCAGTCCTGTCAGAAGCCATTCCATTCTTGTGAAATTTGGCAATTTAGCAAATTGCTTAATTCTCATGAAATATAAACAAAACCTTAAATAATTTTCTGTCAGTAGTTTGTACATTATGTAATGAATCAGAAAAATATTTCAGACACACTGGGTTGTTATACTGTGAACATTTTGGATGTTAAGGCCGTCAGACGGATAAACAGACAGCTGCAGTTTACAGAAAGTTAAAATCTTTTTGCTACGTGTAAGGTGTGGCATCCTTCTGACAAATGACACAAGGAGGCGGGCCGAGCTTTCCAGTCTGTCTGGTAGGACAATTAACTCACTGAACTCTTCTCCCCCTGCTTGGAAGCATGTCCTTTCAGTTTCACAGATAGCACAAGGCTGGCATGTTAGAATCAGTCAAGGCAACTTTGAATTTCAGAGTCTAAACAGCAGTAGGTAGCCGAGCCTCAAAGAGATGACTGGTCTGACAAGTCCGCATTTCCCAACTCAACTGGATTGGTAGCATAGCAAGGGAATCTCTGTAGCATCTGAATACAACCAGTCAGCTCATTCCAGCTGAGAGCTTGTCAAAGCAGCTGTGACAAGTGTCTGCCAAGGCAATCTGTGCTGAAAGCGTCAAAAGCAGTGTAAGTTTTCTATAATTTAATAACAAGAAAGCCGTGTTCTTCATACCTGTGGCGTGGCTATTTTCTCCTCTGTTGTAATTTAGTTTTGTTTGTGTTTCCCAGAAATGGGCTCTATCAGGAAGAAGTTGGTGATCGTTGGGGATGGTGCTTGTGGGAAAACATGTCTGCTCATGGTTTTCACCAAAGGCCAGTTCCCCGAAACCTATGTGCCAACTGTATTTGAGAACTATGTGGCAGACTTTGAATTGGATCAGAAACAGGTAGATGATGTCATTTGGTTTGAAAGTCTGACTGCTGGCTTAGTTAGTTAGCAAACAGACAAAACCCCATCTTTCTTGGAAGGTGGGCACTAATATTTTGCAATTAATTTTTATAGTTTTAAAATTATGATACCTGCCATGACTAATTAGGGATACCATTATCAATAAATTGCAATGTCTTAAAATTGTACGTTTTGGAAAATAAAATATTCTAATTATTTCATTTTCTATAAAATCATTTGAATATTTTTATTCTCACATTAGACCAAAATATATATATATATATATATATACATCAAAGCACTTTCTTATTGTTTTTCAGTAATTATTGCTGAGAATAAAATTCAAAGTTTACCATCCTACTTTCATTTTGTTCTGTTTTCAAATTCATTCACTTTATGGGGGGTGCATGAGTCTGTAGCTGCCGCGTTTTTGTTTCATGTTTCAAACCACATACAGTTTAGAACACAACAGAGAACTGGAATGAAAGGGGTGCGCTGTTTTAATTTTCTTCAGAAATAAAAATGTAAAAAGGGAGACATGCATTATTATTCAGCCCTTCAGAATCAATTATTTCGTAGAACCACCAACGTCGGTCTTTGAGTTGCATATGTATCAAAAGAAAAATGACTGCTGACATAAAAAATATCATCTTACCAAATCGTTTTTATTGAGTCAAAGGTTCTAGAACAGACTATATACTTGAGAAAAAAAAAAGCATTATAAAATGATGTGGAAATCAACATTTATCTAATATTATTACATTTTAAGTTTTATTTCATACAGCATAGTTTTGTCACGGTATAAAATACAAACAAAAAAACTCAAATTATCGTTAAAACATTTCTACAAAAGATGGTAAAAAAGACAAAAAAACACAACATCTCTTCCATGATCATCAAAATACTATGTAGACCTAACTTTTTGTAACAATTTCAGACATTTTCTAAACTTATACTTTTGCTCTTTTTTTTTTTTTTGCTCAGATACAATTGGCACTTTGGGACACAGCAGGTCAGGAAGACTATGACCGACTGAGGCCGCTTTCCTATCCAGACACTGATGTAATCCTTATGTGCTTCTCTGTGATCAGCCGGGACAGTTTAGGTATTGTTTGTGGGCTGGGTTGAAAATAATATCTATCTATCCATTTGCTGATCCAAGATCGGGTCATGTGGTGAGGTGCGCTGTAAAAAAAAAAAAGACTCTAATTTATGGTGAAATACCAATAGTTGTGGTTACCAGAATTTCCCGATACTTATCAAGTCTCGTACCAGTGGGACATGTAAAATCTGAACAGATTAGCGCACAGGAGGCATGCTGATATATGAACTGGAGTTTAAATATCAGTGAAGAAGCATCCCCTCTACCCCTAACTCTATCAATAGAGTGATTGGACTCAAATTTATTACAAAATTTGAGTCCAATCACTCTATTGATAGAGTGTCCAATCACTCTATTGATAGAGTGTCCAATCACTCTATTGATAGAGTGTCCAATCACTCTATTGATAGAGTGTCCAATCACTCTATTGATAGAGTGTCCAATCACTCTATTGATAGAGTGTCCAATCACTCTATTGATAGAGTGTCCAATCACTCTTGATAGAGTGTCCAATCACTCTATTGATAGAGTGTCCAATCACTCTATTGATAGAGTGTCCAATCACTCTATTGATAGAGTGACCAATCACTCTATTGATAGAGTGACCAATCACTCTATTGATAGAGTGACCAATCACTCTATTGATAGAGTGACAATCACTCTATTGATAGAGTGACCAATCACTCTATTGATAGAGTGACCAATCACTCTATTGAAGAGTGACCAATCACTCTATTGATAGAGTGACCAATCACTCTATTGATAGAGTGACCAATCACTCTATTGATAGAGTGACCAATCACTCTATTGATAGAGTGACCAATCACTCTATTGATAGAGTGACCCAGATGGCATCTCTTTCATGACAGCATCCAGAGACTCCAATACAAGTGGGTAATCTGAAATGCTGTTCAGTGCATTTGCACAGACAACAATTGCAACCTGAAGATGTTGCTCAGCTGCCATCCCTGAAGGTGGTGATCCCTCATTTGTGGTGTAAAGCTCAGCTGTGGTTACGCTCCTGAGGCCAAGGTTTAACCACAGGACACTTGCCTGGTTCCCCACCTGCCTGACTTTGGGAGAGGGCTCCAAAATCCGAGCAACCTCATCTCTTCTTGTGATCTGCCAAATAATCCGAATTCTTGAATTGCTTTTTGTCTGACCCAGCTCCTGAGGCCAATTTGCCAATCTGAGAGACCCTACAAGGACCCTAATCAATGGACAACATAGCCTTCATGATGATAGGATTCCATCACATTAATTCATTAGAGGAGCTAATAATAACATAATTAGGTTTTATTAAGCATATTATAGATTAGGAATGTGATTTATGTTGCTAATTGATAACTTTTCTTCTTTACTTTTTTGCAGTAAATGTTAAAGACAAGTGGGCTCCTGAAGTGAGACACTTCTGTCCTCATGTTCCCATAGTCCTGGTGGGGAACAAAACGGATCTTCGCAATGATGAGGATGTCAGAAAAACACTTGCCAGACAGAGAGAGGCATGTTGAGTTAGTTGTTTAAATTTTTTGGTACCTCAAAATAACTATGCGTTTTTGTTGACTTAAACATCACAAAATGTGTAAATCTATTACATTTGTTTTCAGGAGCCAATTAAATATGAAGAGGGCAAAGACGTGTCTGATCAAATTGGCGCCTACAGCTACCAGGAGTGTTCTGCTAAAAACAAAGATGGCGTGAGGGAAGTCTTTGAAACTGCAGCTAGGGCAGCGTTGACGAACGACAGCCGTCGGAAGAAGAATCGCTGTGTGCTTGCCTAAAATCCGGTGAAAAGTAGCGTTATCCTGGAGCTCTCGTGAAGGGCAGAGCCCTTCTATAGAACTTTAAGGGGCGGGGAGGAATTTAAAGCCAAGACGTCTCAAACCAAGGCTGATTTGTAGCTCAAGAAGAACAAAGACAAGAACATCTACGCTATAGAAAAACTATTATGAGATTCATGACCTTGTACAAAATCAATTTGTAATTTGGTTTAAAAATAATTATTGCTAATAGTAACATAAACCTTTCTTGGTACCATAACGCCGCAATTTTAAGTGCTAAGATATTTCTGTACCATACTGTGAAGTTCATTAACCAGGGGATCAATTCACAAACAGGTGAGCTGAATTAGGCTTCATATTTTGTCACTATTATCGTCACAAGGCATTGTATATTTTTAATCTTCCTTTTTAGCCATCATATCTCCATTATACTGTCTTGTACACCTATGATCTTTTGTGAAAATGTTTTTCAGCCACATTTTAACTGTAGAAATTATCATCAAATTCTGAATATAGAAAATAAACTAATATTCTGTTACTGGTGAAATGTTTCTTGTTACAAGTTTTGGTCGTGTAATCTTTTTAAGTATTTTTTGTTTTTGTGAGAACTTTTTGTTGCATTCAGTTATCGATTACTGCAACAATTTGATATTACTTTTATACTTCTCATAAAATTTCTTGCATGCTTTCATATTTGGTCAAACGTTTTATGAAATAGCCTAAGATTATGTCAAATTTCAGATTTACTTACCATATTGTCAAGAGATTACGCTTTCATAAAATTTGTAAAACACAGTGGTCTTTTTCTTTAATGTAAGGATATTGTGTTCTCCAAATACTTTATTGAACAGCAGCTTCAACAGAAACTGCAATATAAGAATATGTATTGTACTTACAATGTTTTTGTAAAGGTATTTCATTCATTGAAATGAATGAAAAAGAAATATCTGTACTGGATGCCTGGATCTAATTATTTTTTGCTAAAAAAAATGTGTCTAGGTATCCGATTTGAGTGAATATGTTATCAAAGATGTTTTTGGAGGACGGTAAAGCATTGGTTTGCAATGTTGCCTGCAAAAGGCTTGATACCTCTTAGAATGCATCCCTGCAAGGACAAGGAAGTATAGAAACTAGATAGCTGGGTTTTTGGAAACCCTAGAAGAAAATATACTCTAAACATTATACATTGTGATTAAATGAAACAAAATCTTATTTATATAAAATAACATGACCTGAACTAATTATTGGCAGAAACAAAGGTTTACCTCAAGATCAGTTTTTTGGTTAAAACTAGAATACATAGGTCTTTAGTAGGCTATATGATTTTAAAACAATACTGTAAATACAATTTTAATTCAATATATTCAAAAGTGTATACAACAAATCTAATTTCCGAGTCTACACAATTGAGACTATCAGGAAAACCTACATATAACATAAAAAATAACCATCACACTTATACTCTTTTATTTGCTTAAACGTTACACGCTTAAAGCAAGTGTACTTAGAACTTGCAACTTTACGTCTTTTACGTCTTTCTTCTATCGCAGTCGGTTTACGGTCACCAATCACACTTAAGAACTGGAGTTTTAGTCCCGCCCTTTGTGACATGTCTTCCTGTGGCCATTTTACACTTGGCTAACTAAAAAAAAACAAAAAACAAAAAGAAAACGTCGCACTCACCTTAGCTTCAGCGGGACGTTTTATAAAAAGGCTGTTGTTGAAGTAAGTCCAGGGTAAGTCTTTTATCCGTTCTGTCTAAAAATGCACTCAGGTTTTGTAACAGTTGAGAGTCGTTTTGGATTCGGTGTGTCAGTCCTGGAGTTGCTAGTTAGCTTAGCTGCTAGCAGAGATGACCGCTGCACGTTAGGTTCCTGTTCTCCTGTTAATATTTGTGTGTTCTTTGCTAGCTACTGAAGAATGTCTGTTGTTGAGAGTTTTAGTAGTTTGTTTAATACTGTAGATAGAAAGATAAGAAGGTTATCTCAAAGTGGCAGTAGTGTGTGTACAGTAAAAATATGCATCCGAATGAACGCATTGTACAACACCACTCTGCACCCCGAGTTTCATTTTTTTTCTGTAATCCGATATCTCATCTCAGCTCCTTATTGCTGTTGTCATCTTGCATTCAGTAGCTTTAACTGTCAAGAAGCAAACGCTTTGGGGAAATTTCAAAGTCGACATGGACTATGAGCGGAGGTGAGTAAATCTGTCATTTATTTTTTGGGGTTATTTTGCATATTTTTCGTTGAAGACACTTTAACGTGATTCTATCCTACATCATCAGGGGTGGTCGAGGCGATCGCATCGGTCGCTATGGCAGCTCTCACAATGATCACAACTTTCGGGATATGGACTATCGTGCTTATGGGCAAGAGGATGAGGAGGGAGTCCATGAAGTCAGAATGGAAGATGAAGGGTTATTCATGCCTGATGAGGCGCTAGGTGCTCATGACTTCCCAGCAGGTTTCCAAGGTTCCCCACATTTTCACCATAGAGGGAATACCAGAGGCGACATTAGTCTGGAGGGAAATACCCCAGTATGGCCTCCCTTTTCTCAGACACACCCTGATTGTGCACGTCTCAGCCACCCAGGGGAGGAGGATAGATTCAGACAGGACTTTGAGCAGATACAGACTGGCCCACCAGTAAGGGGTAGGCAGAGAGGTGGAAGAGGCTTTCCAGAAAACAGGGGTTTAAGTAGGGATGGCAACTGGGTTGCCCATTCTGAACAGATGGAATTCAGACCAAAAGATGAGGATAGGGTCTCTCGTGGAGGCGGAAGAAGGACGAGGGTAAATTCTGACAAATGCATAATTTGCAACCTTTTCTTTCCTTTAATGGGAGAGATTAATTATTTTAATTCAACCTTCTCTGGAAGACTTTTCCAGCAGCAGCGGAGGAAGGTGGCTGTGAAAGCGCTGGACAAGACCCGTCTGCAGAGGAACTCGACCAGAGAGACCAGGACTACCGGGCAGACTTGGACCAGAACCAGAGGCCCAGTAACATTATCATGCTTCGCATGCTACCAATGAGTGCCACAGCCAATGAGGTGTGATTTGTTCTGAACTATAATCCTTCATTTATACAGGATTGTCTCATTCACAAGAGAGATCTGTTACACACATCACAAAAAATGACATAAAAACAATAATACAATCTACTCAAGCTGCACCAAACAGTGGTGCAGCTTATGCTTGTAAAGTCTAAATTGCATTTTTTTTATTGGATGTTTTAAGATTCGTGCACAACTTCAGGAACAGGGGATCCAGCCAAGAGAAGTTCGCCTTATGAGGAATAAATCTTCAGGTGAGGGTTTGTCTGCTGGCCACCTTCCCCTCCTTGTGTCAGTCTCATCCTACACCTGGCTCTGTTGTTCTTGCTGCTCTCGTTGTTTTTCTGTTAGGATTGATTGCCTTCACTTTCTCACAGTCTTGTTATGATACATGACAGCTCTAGCACAGTGCAAATGATTAGATATTCAGGTTCGTACAGAGAAGGTTCAGATTCCTGCTTTTTACTTTGATCTTCTGGTTTCTGTCCTTTTGCTGTTTCTCACAGAGCAAAATCCATCCACCCTTTGAGTTATGTCCTACTAATTTCGCCTCTCAAGCAAAAATGCAGGCATACAGCCAAGAAGTGTCATTAACTCGATTTTCCTGTTTTCTGTGTTTCATATACTGTTTCTCCTTGTTTTGTGGTCCTTTTTTATCCATCTTGGAAGTTAAATGCACCTGAGCTGAACAAATTTTGAAAGTTAAAACTCCAAATGCATAAATTATTTCCATAGATAAATTGTGTGTCCTGAGAATGAAACCTTGCAGCTAACGATCAGCTGCATGGTTGATTTTCTATGTATATTTTTCCTAATGTTTCCCATTACAGTCATTGTGTCTTTGGTGTTGGACTTTGCTAACTTCCTGGTTGTCTGTGAGGTGTGCTTTACTGACACTGGCACACTTACCCTCCCCAACACTCTGCTGACTCTTTCACATCCACATCAGTCTTTATCTGCTTTTCAGATTAGTCGCTGTGATCTAACATTTTGGAAAATAACATTTGTATTTTAATTTTTTTGTGCATACTGGTTTTGTAAATTTTGCACCAGGTAAAATAATTCAGTGCCTTGCTAAGGTATTTTTACCCATTAAACCTTTCCCTGTTTTGTCTTGAAAAACATTGTCACCATAACCATTGGAGGCTGATTAGAGTGGAAGGGAAGACATCAAGCTACATATAGGGCTGCACAATATTAGAAGACAATACTAAATGAAAATATTGGAAAGTTGTTTTCCTCAATCTTATCTTTTCTCTTGAGTATTGGACTGACAAGACTGAATACAGTGAATCCCCAGTATTCATGGGGGTTACAAACCACAGCCGAACATGGAATACTAAAAACACTATTAAATAACTACTTTAATAGATCAAACACAAAATGTATCTTAGTGTACATTAATGGGCAGAGTGGAAACCATCTTGGCACTGCTTCAGAATCAATACCAACAGTATTCCTTTTTTCAGTCCAGTCTTTTTAAAAATATTTTACATAAAATCAGAGAATAGGTGAATCCATGAGTACTGAACTATAATCAGGCAGGGATTCACTGTATTCTTTTGTTGCGCAAGATCTGATAGTTGGTATGTGATATTTAACAAATATAGTATTTCTCATTTTTGTTTTAATATTGCATACCAAGCAAATACTTTGAAAATACAGCTAATGTAATTTACAGTAACTAACAAAAACAAGTTAATTACATTTAACTAATGTAATTTGGAATAATGACCTGAAACATATAGCCAGAGAGGCAGAGTGTTCTTTTCTATCAAACTATAGTCTTTTCTACAATGGCTAGGTCAAAGTCCTGACCTAAATCTAAATGTGAATCTAGTTTCAGGGTCATGGTAGTGATGTTCCCCAAAGGACTGGCAGGTTTTGCTTTTTCTACAAACTAACTTCTAAGTGATGTATGTCGAGCTTTTCAGATTTTTTTTTTTTTTTGTGAAAAGATTTTGAAAATCTTTTTGTTTTTTAATTTATTATGTGCTAGTTTGTCTTGGTCTGTCACAAAAACCCCCCCACTGAAGTTCATTGATGTGGTTTTAATTGGACAAAATGTGAAAAAGTTTAAAGGGTATGAACACTTACGCAAGTCACTGATAATACAGAAAGATCTCGAGTCTTTGTGATTTGAGTTTGAATTAAGAGTATTAGAAATGTGTGTGTTTGTTGCCGCTTGGGTATTTCGACTTTCATTTTGCAAAGAGCTCAGACCCAGACAGATGGGTGGGTAGTATTCCTCCTCATCCCCGACTCCAAGTGAGACCCATCCTGTGCAGAAAATTTATGGGAGAGAACATGTTATTTTTTAATTTATTTTATTTTATTTTTTTGGTGCTCAAACAGGGTTTTTCTCTCTCTTTCTCTCCTCTGTAAATGAAGCACTAACCCAAACACTGCGTTGTTGTTATGTTGTTGTTGTTCGGTTGCTGTGGCGCTGGGCGGTGTCCAGGTCAGAGCCGAGGATTCGCCTTCGTCGAGTTTAATCTCATACAGGAGGCCACCCGCTGGATGGAGACCAACCAGGTCACTCTCTCCAACACATACACAAATACACATATAGATTAAGTCAGTGGGACATTAGCTAACATGATATCCAGTGACATCATGCCATCAGGTGCACTTTCACGGTTTTCTGCAAAATGCACACTAGAAAATGATTGATTTCCTGTGCCTAAGGCAGGTAAGCCTTTGTATTTTTAGAGTTGTTTTCTTTCCACATACACACAAATTCCAGTAAGATGCAAATTCATCTACATCACAGCCAAGAATATAGCCTCAACACTTGCCTAGTTTTCAAAATATATCCTCTCAGTCATTTTTCCAATAAAGGACTGATTCTGTAATACCTTCTATCAGTCCTATGTCTGTTTTCTCTGCCACCTTTGGAGAGGACACACCAGTGGAAATGGAAATTCTCCTCAGGTATTTTGCATAGGGATGTACCGATCCGAACCCAGCTATTGGATCGGGGTTACCATCATGGCATTTTTAAATAATCGATATCGGAGTCCCTGACAAAACGTAACTTCTGAAAGCTATTGCGGGTGTACCTTTTTTTTTTTTTTTGTCTGCTGCACCACCAGTGAGCCCAGGCTGAACTTTTACTTCTTTATTTATTTTGTGACAGTCCTGTCACACTTCTGCGTGCACGGCTCACTAAGTTGAACTTTAGCCCATGCACATTACTTTGTTGCTCCAGTAAGAGTTTTTCATTCTTTATTAATGACATTCACAGTGAAAGAGGCTGTGTTGGCTGCTGCCGTTTTCTGTCTGTCTGTGTCATGTGACTTACTTTGTCTGCTGGGTTCAGATGTTCCCATGCGCTGCTTGATGGAATAGAAAGACGCGAATCTGCAGTCACAACTCAAGTGTAATGTTTATGAAGCAGGAAACGGAGGCTCATGGAGACAGATCAAAACAGAGGGTAAACATGCTGGTGTTTGAACATAATCAAATTTCCTTTGCATTTTCTGCAGAAGTTATATGTAGATTCTTGAATTCTCTAGTTTGGAAACTTCATAGTTCTCACCTAAACTATAGTCACTCTTTTCACCAAGTTGATATGTATTAGAGCTGCATATAGAGGATTTTTTGCAGAAATCCTGCTAAAAAAATACCTTTTAACTGTCAAGGAGAACAGATAAGTGTAGATCCATCTTCCAGAACCTTATTGGTGAGTAAGTCCTAGTGTTGTTGAAATGTAGTCTTACCAAGTGCCACTTGTCAGCTGCAGTGATTATTAACTTAAATGAGGTTTCTGACTGGGACTCTGTATCGGAAAATGCCTAATGTTAAATGACTCGGATCGGTATTGGTGGGGGAGGGGCGGGCTTAAAAACAACCCTGATCTGAACATCCCTGCTATTTTATGTTGATTTAGAAACAACATATTTTTGTTTATTTATTCCTTTCTTTCAACCATTACTGCATATTTTAGGACAAAGCCTTTGTCATTTGGTGTTTGAGGGGAGTTGTGTGGACTTTGTTGGAATCTGTGGAAAGTTTCCCCTTAAGGGGGGAGGGATAACACATTTATAAAGATATCACACATTGTCCCTAAATAATGGGAATCCACAAAACTACAGACATACCATCTCAGTCCGTCCGAATTTTCTTAAGCTGAAGGTTGCAATTCTCTGCTGTCCTTTTTTTTCTCTCTTTCTTTTTTTAAAGCCTCAGCTGTTCTGATCCTCTCTCTCCCTCTCTCTTTCCCTTAATTTTTTTCTTCTCTTTCAATCTCATCTCTTGTGAGATGAGGCCTCTTTGTGGCGTGTGTGACATTATCACTGAAACTCATTCTTTGTCCCTCCTGTTCCTCTTTCTTTTTCCTCCAGGGGACGCTGACGATTATGGAGCAGCGCGTGTCCATGCACTACAGCGACCCCAAACCACGAGCCAACGAGGACTGGCTCTGTAACAAGGTTTTTTATGTTTGAATTACCTGGTCTGCATACCAGACATAATGTAGTAGCTCATCTAGCAGGTCTTCTAATGGGTTGTGCATTATTCTAACAGTGTGGTGTCCAGAACTTCAAAAGGAGAGAGAAGTGCTTCAAATGCAGTGTGCCCAAATCAGGTGAAGTTTTAACAGGAGTTGCTATTAATAACCAACCTGTTTTCTCTTCTTCTTTGATGCATTAGTGTTGTGCTATCTTTCCATAGAGGCTGAGTTAAAGCTGCCACAGTTGCTGAGGGAAATGCCTGTTGGAGTTCAGAAGGAGGGAGCCCAAGGCTTGCTGCCTCTGCCGGTATCGTACCACTCTGCTGGTCCGAGTGTTTCCCCAGGGCCTGCGCCGCAGCCGGCAGATGTCGCAAATGACAGTAAGCCTCCAGACAAGCTTTTGCAATGCTATAGACATCTCTGCTGTTCATCACGTTGATCTAATTCAATTTGTCTGCAAAGCCAGCAGAGAACGACAGTCATTATCCTCCATTTCCACAGCTCTGATTCTTAGAAACCTTGGGCCCCATACAACAGTGGAAGCCATTTTGTCTGCATTGGCTCCATTCGCCACCCTCTCCCCTTCTAATGTTCGTCTGATTAAGGACAAGCACACACACCTAAACAGAGGCTTTGCTTTTCTGCAGCTTTCTACTATAGTGGTAAGAATAGAAAAAATATGTTTGATTTACTGGCTTACATGTTCCAGGTCTAACAGTGGAACCTTCTGTCTGTTACTATTTGCTTTCTGCATAGATGATTTTTAAAGATAAACTTATCTAAAACATTAAATGTCATTAGAAGATCATTATGTTTTTTTTTTTTATCAACAGGAGGCCTCGCAGCTGCTTCAGATTCTTCAGGCTCTGCAGCCCCCCCTGTCTATTGATGGGAAAGCCATTGTAGTGGAGTTTGCCAAAGGTTCCAAACGGTAAACTCTTTAACGCAGAAGGCAGTTAAATATACTTGCAAATTTAAGAGGGAATAAAACTGGATCAAAGTACAACATAAAAATAAAAAAAAGATCTAGTTTAGTTATGAGATAAAGTGTGTGAGATTAAGAAAGACTGCTTTAGCCAAGACACTACAAAATCGATAATGAGACTTACTGTTGCTCTTGCCACCATCAGTGATGTCTTTGTGACTGAGGGGAGCAGAGTGAGCGCGGCTACGGTGGCCAGCACTGCTATAGCCGCTGCGCAGTGGGCTATATCACAGGTAAGTGGTTAGCACAGGTAGTCTAGCTTCACTTACTAAAATGGTGACATGAAGGCTTCCCGACCGAAATGCTTATTTGTCTACTGTTTGTTGTGGTTTATGTTTTATTTTTAGAACACTCAGAATGGATCAAGTGAGGATGCAGCAGTTTACCAGCAGGGAGCAGCAGTGACATACAGTCACGAAGGACAGAGTTATTCTGGGGCAGACAGCGTCACTTTAAGGGTCCAGACGGACTCCAGGATCGCGCCCCTGGTTGGTGCAGGAGCAGCACTAAATGGAGCATATACAGGAGGAACCCCAGGTTGATCTGACTGATTCTTCCAATAGTCTGTAACAGGGCTGTTTACTATTTCTGTAGAACAGTATTTGCTCATGATGTTTCCTTGCTCATCTGTAGCTGTTATCTCATCTGAGGCAGTAAAACTTGGTTCAGCAGCTGGACAGCTGTCTCTCATCCCAGCTATCTCCACACCAGCCACACAAGTACATAGTTGTTTTTCTTTTTTCTTTTCCCTTCTCGTCTTGTATCTTCCCAACTCTAATAGTTTCGCCTCTAAACAGGTTGAGATTGTAGGAAAACCACAGCCAGCTGCTGCTAATCAACCTGCCATCCCCGGCACCGAACACGAGCTCAAACAATATCGTAAGTGTTTCCTACAAAGAGAGACGTCTTCCAAACCTGCAGGTGGCGAAATTTCATGTAATTCAGGACTTTTTTTCCTTGTATATTTTTTGCAGCTGTGCCAGATGTGTCCACTTACCAGTATGATGAAAGCTCAGGATTTTATTATGACCCATTCACAGGACTCTATTATGACCCAAATTCCCAGGTAAACTGTCCACTCTGCACAAATTGCAGAGAACAGAACAGAAACATTTTGTACACAAGCGAGTTCGTCCTTACGACTTCTTTTTGCTTTCGGGGTTCTTTTTTATGTCAGTACTACTACAACGCTAACACTCAGCAGTACATGTACTGGGATGGCGAGAAGCAGAACTACACTCCTGCTGCCAGCCAATCAAACACTGAGGGTACACCAGTGAAGGATGGAGCGGCGTCTTCGGACAGCACAGCAAGCAAAGAGAAAAAAGAGAAGCCAAAGAGTAAAACTGCTCAACAGGTACTCTCCTAACTGGACACAAATTCAAGAGTTGTCATATTTAATAAACAACTTTTTTTTTTCTTTTAACTTGACATTATGTTTGTATGTTGAACAATGGAATATTAGGGCCGTGATAAGAAAATTTAAAAAGTATTACAAGATTGAAGTCATAAAATTATGAGAATAAAGTAATACGAGAATAAAGTCGTAATATTATGACTTTTTTTCCTCATAATGTGTTTATTTTTTCTAATATGGCCCTAATTCTCTGTAATATTTCCCATTTTTACAATTTTAAGAAAATAAAAAAAGAGCAAAATATAGTACTGATCAAACTTAGTATTATTTTTCTTGACAAATTTAGTTTCCCCTTTTTTTCAATCTTTTTTAATATGAAATTAAAAACATCTTAAATCCCTGTGAAATTTTACAAACTTATTTTTTTCTTATTGCTTTTCTAGATTGCCAAAGATATGGAGCGTTGGGCTAAAAGTCTCAACAGGCAAAAGGAAAACATGCGTTCTGTCTCTTCGTCCCCTGCTGTCGGCTCTTCTCGAGGGCCGGGTCACAGTCGCTTTGACGACTACAGAGAGTCTGCAAGTGCTGACGCAGGCTATGCTGTTCTGGAGAAAAAGGTGCCAACACATTTGCCTCATCAGACCGTCAGGAGGAGTGACCATCATGCACGTGTTTAGAATCGATCACCCATTTAAACCCTCTTAATTTTCTGTCCTGCAGGGTGCGTTGTCTGAAAGGGCGCCGAGTTTTCTGGACCAGATCCGACAAAGTACAGAAGTACGAACAAGCTGTGGAAAAAATGCATACGTTTTATAATATTTTTTTTTCATTTGAGATGTATATATGGGGCACAATATCCGTCTCATTCTCTAATCTTCTGCCTTGACACCAGCAGCTTTCGCCCCCTCAGCAGTCCGGTCTGGTCCCAGCCTACAGTGCAGAAAGTGACAGTGAAGACGAAGGAGCTGAGAAAGATGAGAAAGAAGGGAGACTGACAGACTGGGTGAAACTGGCATGTCTGCTCTGCAGAAGGCAGTTCCCTAGCAAAGAGGCCCTCATCAGGCACCAGCAGCTCTCTGAGCTCCATAAAGTAATTTTTAAATATTAGTTTTAATAATCATTAGCAGCTCACCTATTTATGAAACCCATGTGTAAGACAGTCTCTGTACTTTTAAGACGAAATGTTGTCATTGTGTTGTAATTTTTTTCCGTGTGACCCTTCACCTTTGTCTGTCTTCAGCAAAACTTGGAGCAAAGAAAAGCTCAGCTGGAAGCTAGTGGGAAGGTCAGTAGAGCTTCAAAGAAAAGGATGGACACTAACACTTATGTTCAGTAAGTTCACTCTAAACTTTCTCACTGTTTCTGATGCAGAGATTAGCGGATGACAGTGAACCACCAGAAGCTAAGAAGAGGAAGTTCAATCCAATGTAACCAACTTTGACCTGAAAAACTTCTGATTGTTGTTTTGAAGCTTCGCTTTAAGATTTTAAAATGTATTTTATAATGTGTTGCAGGCTTGAACGTGTACTCAGCATTCTTTTTGTGTTATCTTTTAACAGTGACGGAACAGGAACTAGCCTGGGTGCAAGGATGTTGCAAGGAGGTGTGAAGAAGGGGCTTCTGTTGCGCAACATGCAAGTGGAGTGACCACTTGCATTTTCCGTTTCTCCCATCCTAGGAAATGATGAACTTTTAAAAGTGAACATATTATTGCTATCTATATAAAAACCTCTTACTTGTAGATAGATATTATAATTACCTCAACTGTGGTAATAGTCTCATGAACGGATCCTGTAGCAGTAAATGTTGGAATATTGCACAAATTGCACCTTTTTCGCTTGCTTCCTCAATAATGCAGTTTTCATTTTTCACTGGCTTTGAGGTTTGTTTGTAATAAAAAAAGTTTGGAAAAACATTTGCTGCTCAGAAATTGAGTATCTGTAGCCTACAGATCTTTATGCCAGCAAATGAGTCTATGCACCATATATTTTTCTTTTTCTTTTAAGTTAATGCTGCATGCCTTGTCATTCAATGAATGACTGATCTGGACATGAGCTGTATATATTTTTGAGTGAGCACTTTTCTACAGATGTTGAGGCGGAAACATTGTGGCCACCTGAACTGTAAAAAAAAAAAAGTCACCATCTTTAATGTGTAGATAGGAATTGTCTGTTTATCTTGATTTAATGTACAATGAAACTAATATTGTCTTTCGAAAATTATTTTTGTCTACGTATTTGTCAACTAATGTGACTGTTTCATTAAGCTAATGTACATTTAAAAAAAAAAATCAATCTTCACTGATGGAAAGCATTTGAAAGGGGGTGGAATGTATATCAGGTTTCAACATTTTAACCAGAAATTTCACCAGCTGTGTCTTTCGTTTATGTTCGCATAAAGAAAGAGGAATATATTGCAATTGCCGATATGAGTTTTGTGGTGTAATGACTTTGCTTGTTTGTTTTATTTTGGCTCTTCAACAGCAGAGGTTCGTTCCTGATTTTTGGTTTTCGTGCAACTGCAACCCTCTTACCAAATCTGCCCGTGCTGCGCCTGCGTGGTTTCCATAGTGACGTTGTCAAACTCGGTTCTTTTAAAAACGGCTCAGACGCCACTCGCAAGCGAGCTAGTTCGTACCACTTTACGATAATAACTGGCCCCAATGTCTGACAATGATGATATGTACCTGTCCCCCGAAGAACAGTTGGGGGAAGAGGCGAATGCTGGAGAAGGCGAAGAAGGGGACGAACCCGATAAGGTTCGTGTAATATCGGTAGAATACAGACAGTTAAAAAAAACAAAAAAAAAACGTAAATTTAGCTACTAATCTGTTTTGAGTCCTTATAAACCGCATGTACATTTCCATTACAGTTATCAAATGTTCATTCAGTTTTACTTTTGCCCCCCCAAAAAAAAAAACTTAGTTTAGCCTGTTTCTACACCTGTAATGAGCCACTATAGGAAGCTGATAAAAAAAAAATGTCGCAGTATCCGCTACTAGCCAACGCGCGAACAGGTAAACTGTCTTCATACTGAACGTTCCAATGAATTAGAACGTACACATTGAAGTCAGATGGACATAATTATCAATGGGAATATCGTTCTGGGCATTACTTAAACCCGAACCCTTATAAATCCTGACCAGCTTTTAAATAAATCACAAACAATTCCATCTTGAAGCCTTTCCTGTGTGATTTGCATAGAAAAGTATATTTTTGATGACGTTTTGCTTGAAAATCAGGAATTCGGTGTTTTGAACGTTGCTTGACGTTACTGTAAAGCGTCACTATAACTTGAGTTTGAAAATGGCTCTCGATTCACATGATTCACATGAAAAAACAAAGCTTCTGAAAAAAATAAGTTTAGGTAAGTTAAATAACGTCTTAAAGTCCAAAATAAGTTTCTGAATATATCTTTTGGACACTCATCACATTTAACAGAAATAAAGGCTTTAATAGCCCTCTCTGAGTAATCAATCTATATAATGTGTTTCACTTAGTAAATTAAGTTACTGAAATCAATTAACTTGATTTCAGTAACTTCAACAAATAAAGATTTGTTGAATGTGACGACTCACCACAACAACCTTAACCAGATATTACATTTCCTGCAGATGAAGCAGTGATCTGTCTTGTCGTTTTCCATGCTATCATGACTTAGGAAGAAATGCTCTGCAGCAGACTAACCTATCCTGAAAGCACGCTCAGTGTTTTGCAGAGAATGTTTTGCAGCTCCTATATTGATTATACACTGCCAAGTTTGTCAGTATATAACCAATGTAAGAGCTGTACACCCTAGTTGTACTCTTGACAAACATGCCAGTGTGTAACTTATAAGTTTGCTTTCATAAGATCACACTACACTCCTACAGTAGCCCCTCCTAACAAAGACTTTAAAACATTCAAACTTTGGTACTTTGGCCAGAGCCTTTACCTCCAATGTTTTTGTGTGTTTGTCTTTAAGTGACATTCACCATAAAAGTGGCTTCTCTGTTCTCCTCAGATTCAAATGTTCCCATTGGACAAAGAGACCATCATTGAGGGGCTTTCGTTGCTCTGCCAGACAGGAAAAAGACTAGAACATGCTTTTATCAAACTAGATCTTAGAGAAAGGTAAGCAGACAAAGATGAGCTGAAAAAAATTAATTTAGTGCCAGCCTTAAAGGTCGGTAAATGTCGTGTTCAGACATTAAAATAGTCAGACCATATTTAGAGACTGGAATATTTGCATATCAATAGATTTTAAACTCGTGTTTTCTTGTGTCTCCATTTCAGAGGTTTAAGTGACATAGTTGCAATCAGCAGTTATATTCACATACGTTTTCTGGACTTGTCCAACAACTACATCTCTGATCTTTCTCCCTTGGCACCAATGACTCATTTGCTTTGGCTGAAGGCGAGAAATTCTTGATTTCATATTAAAAATTGCATATGTCTGATACGTTAAATAAAACTCATACCAAAAGCAAATCTTGAATCAACTCTTTTGCAGGTAGATGGAAATTCTGTGAAATCATTACAAGGGCAACCTTTAGCTGAGTTTACCTTTCTACAATGGTTGAGTGTGGCATCAAACCAGCTAGAAGACTTAGAAGGCCTGGTTGGACCGTCCCTAGAGACGCTCATACTTTCAGGTTTCTCCTTTTGACATTTATCAAAAGATGAATAGTCTAACATATTTAGCAAGTGGATATAATTAAAACCATTTCAACTGTTCATAACTCAAATAATTAAATCTTAAAACATATGTTTGTGAAAAGAATAATGTGACACTGACATTATTTTCTTTCAGGAAATAGTATTCAGAAAGTAAGTGGTTTTGAGAATGCTAATTTTGCCAATTTGGTTTCTCTGGAGCTGAGGGCAAACCGGTTGGAAACAACAAGTGGCTTTGACCTTCCAAACTTGCGGAAACTATACCTGGTAATACAAGGCATTGTGATTTGGATAAAATAAGTCATATTTTGTTTGTCGATGTAATCGGCCTTTGTAGAAGTTAATGTAAAATAGTAACTGTAAGTATCAAATCTTGTTTATCCTCAGGCCCAAAACTTTATCAAACGTCTCGAGGGTCTAGAGAAGCTAGAGCGCCTGACAACCCTACATCTTCGAGACAATCATCTTGAAAACCTGGAAGGACTCTGTTCTGAAATGAAGAGTCTTCAGTACCTCAATGTCAGGTACAACAACAAACTGGTGCCTAAATATACCTTTGGGGAATCAGCAAAGTATTGAACCTCATATTTTTTACTACCATCTTTTTCTCCCGTAGAGGAAATGCAATCGCTGAAGCGGACGCTTTACGAAGCCTCCGCCTTCTGACAAATTCCCTGAAGGTTTTGGTTATTGCGGAAAATCCAATAGTGGAAGCATTACTCTATCGGCCAACTGTACTAGTACTCTTGCCTCAGCTGGAGCGAATTGACAAAGAGATAATCACTCTTAAAGAGAGGACAGACGCTCGGAGGACACTCAGGGTATGGATAAGTTGGTGTTTTCATATCTCTTTCTTTTTTTTTTTTTTCCAGAAATGTTTCAGCTTTTAATTAAGTGTGTGTTGTTTCAGGAACTTAAGGAAGAGGAAGAACCACCTGCATAAAAGATTAATAGAATGGGGAAGTGATGCTTTTTTGAAATGAAGAGCCTCTTGCGCACAAGTCAACGACTTTGATTACAAATGTGTTTGGAAAACATGTCTCCTACATGATTACTGTTCTGATTAATGAAGTTTGATTTCTCATATTTAGAAAAACAGCTAACTGTAACCATTATACTTCTAGTTGTTTTCAAAAAATGGAAAATTGCAGAGTAACTAACATTAAAAAAAGTGCTTTGACTGCGCGATAAAAATGAATTTTGTGTGTGAACATTGTAGTTTTTCCCTGAGTAAGGATGATAGGGCAGAATCTGCTACCCACCCTTCCTTGAAGCCAGCCTCCCAACTCCAGATTTAAAGGAACAGCTACATTAGCTGTGCTTAGGCAACACGTGTTCAGAAACATGATCTAATGCCGATAAGGAGGAATTACATCCCTGCTTATTAACATTTGTTTATGTCACTTTATTTATGATATATGTAAAAAGCAAGACAACGGGAGTGTGAATGTTGATCATTTTTTATGTTTATAACAAAAATAAAATGGAGACATGTGGATGTACTGAATAGTGGCATCGCTATAACAGTTGCAACGCAGTAAAATGTCAACTTTAAAGCAAGCATATTTATTTTTGATAAAATGCAGGAACACGCATTTTGTCATAACACTTAACGTAGCCCTGCAGACTTCTCTATTTGTTTAAACATCGCTTTTGCGGTAAAATGGTGCGGAATGTGGTCCTGCAAGTGTTCGATTTACAAAAGAAGGACGACCTAAGAAAAGTTGTCGAAAGGTGCATCTTGCTTTGCTCAACATACGCAACTTCTCTTCCTGCATCCATTTGATTGGACGGGCTTGGCTCGCCTGGTCGACATAAACCTCTCCGTGACAGCCGTTCCTCCTCCTCCTTACAGTTACGCTGGGCAGCTAGCAGTGGCCTTCGAGTCCAGATAGCAGCCGTGTGCGGTGTTAAATTACTTTCATTCATTCTCCAAGCAAGCAGAGCGTTCCAGTTATCCTTCAAGAGATCATGGCCAGCTACCACAAACCCGACGAGAAGACTTTGCAGGGACTCAAAGACACTGCTAACAAGCTAAGGATCCATTCCATCAAGGCAACATGCGCTTCCAACTCTGGGTAAGTCAAACAAAGTTACTCTGAGTGGTCAAGTGTTAAGCAGAAACACCGATAGAAGGTTATTACCGTAGCGATAGTGTGCAGACGATGCACGCGCTACCCGTGGGGGCCTGGTGGCTGCACGTGCAGTAGATTATGTTCATGCGGCTCAAGTTAGCCAGAGCTAGCTGCGAGTTAATGAGAATGCCGCTCCGGTTGTCTGCTTTCAGGAGCACAGCAGAGTCTGGCGTAAGGAAATTCAAGCCCACTAGGTGGTTGATTCAGAGCTTCTTCGGTATTACGTTATATCTTTTAGTTCCCCCCTGATGAATGCACTCTTTAATAAAGCACAGATCGAGTGAGCCAAGTCTGTGATACTGACTTCAATGTAGCCACTATCACATGCTGCTGTGTTGTGGTCTTATGGTCATTTTCTCTCCTGGGGATTGTAATAAATCAATTTCTAGAATTTGGGATGCTCATAATATTTCGTCTGTTAGAAATTTTAAGTTTTGGTTTCATTTATAGACTATTTGTAAGTTGTTTGCACACATTATGTCTGTATTTACGTATTTATACAGTTTTAACAGCTCTTTTCTCATTGTGAGCGTAAAATGTTGAATATTGAAAACATAAGTACAGGTTCTATTTGTTTCCGCAAATAACGTTTGGGTGCTATTTTGCCCCCACTGAATTTTTAGTCTCATATTTGTTAATCAGGCATTGATGTATTTGCCCCTACATGAGGCAGTAATTGATATTAACGGGACACCTGAAGACTTTTGTATTTGTATTTTTATTTTTTTGTCATACACACAATCTGCTTCAGGGCAGGGTACAGCAAAGTTAGAAACTTATTATTTTTTAAATGTAATTAACCTCTACTTAAAATAGTCAAATTCTAAATCGAATAAAGTATTTAAATCAATAAAGTCACATTATATCTATTTTGCCATCGAATATGTGCAATATTGTAATTGCATATTTTGTAGACAATAGAATTTCAAACTCCATGCTCTAAACTGATTTCAAACAACTTATTGCTTTTTCTGGACGGATGTTCTCTTCCCCTTTCTGTCCACAACTGGTGCAGAATATCAGATGGGGGTGGAGAATTTTGGATGTTGTAAAAGAGGAGCTGGTTGGGGAAAATGTGGATTATTCATAATTGATATGTTGATTTTCACCAATAACATAGTAGTGTCATCTTTTTGTGAAATCTGACTACTGGGCTATACATTTTCTTTCAAAAGAATATGTATTTGCTGTAAGATCATCTTGTTCAGATATGACTAGCAGGATTTCCATTGCAGTCTTGTACTTAAGACCTAAATGAACTGTTCTTGTCCAAATGTCAAACAAATGCACCTTTTAACACCAAAAACTGAAAACTAATTACCTTGTGGTTTTGGCTCCTGTGTATGAACACCAGGTAAACTTTTTTTTTTTACCAAAACAAAATACTGATTAAAATCTATTCTGCTCCTTAATGAGCTGGTGCAGATTTTTTCACACAGAAAATAGCCCCAGTGGTGGATGCAAGTCCAGACATGAACACTGGAAAAGGGTGCAGCTTTATCAGTTGGAGTAGCTGCCCTTTGCTCCGGCTGTTAACTATAGTTGAACGGGCGTCACCAGGTTTGAGTTTTGAACCAGATTCTTGTGTTCTCATTTGAGCGTAATCTTTACTGAGGAGAAATTTTAGTGGAAATGTAGACATGGGCATCAGTTTTATGTCATGTAAAACACTTGGCAGCTATCTTTTTTTTTTTTTTTTTTTTTTTTTTTTTAATTCTTGACAAACAGTGATTTACTCATGGATTATACTTGTGCTGCACCCTTGACTAAACCCTTATACAATTCTCATACCGGTTCTGCAAATAAAGGGCCAGTTGATGAGTCTCTTTGGGTTCCTACTTCTTCCTTCGGATAAGGAAATAAGGAAATCTTTGTCTGAAATGAGGCTAGCAAAACATGTTACAAATAAAGCTTGTTGTACTGCAACTGTTTCCTTGTTCTGACTAATACAGAACAATGCACTCTTAGTGTCTTTCTCTGAATTTGCCTTGCTTTATTTTCAGCAGGTTCTGTCTCAACAAGTGGAAGAGTGGTAAATTGAACAACTGGATCTTGCTTTTTAATGTAAAACTTGACAGTGAATGATGGACTTTTGCATTGAATTTTGTACAAGTTCCCAGCATGTTCAAAATGGTACCAGTTTTAACTTGACCACAAAGGGAAGCTGAAATCTCTTGGGCAACTCGGGGTTTCTAGAAATGTTTACAATAATCCCAACCCCATTTTAAGCAACTAACAGTTTCACAAGGCTTTTTTTGCAAGTTTTTTTTCTTTCTTTTTTTTTTTAAAGCTTGAGGACATTTGTGTGGTAACCAGAGGTGGTTGTGTTTAAAAATTAACAAGTTATTGATTGATGGTGACGTTTTCTAACCTCAATAGGTCGTCTTCAAAAGCATCATCTGTCAACAATACAGTTGTGTAAATTTTGTGTGATGTGGTCATGCTCTCTCGTTGAACAGCAATTCTCAGACAGTTATTCTGTCACTATTAACATAGTGCTTTAAACAGGAAATTATTTAACTTTTTCAGACTAAATACAAAGTTTGAATATAATATGCACGCATTGGCATGATGGTCTTGTATACTAATATTGCATCTGTACTGTCAACTGTCACTAATTGACTCCTTTTTTTTTTTTTTGGTTCCTAAGCCATCCCACATCATGCTGCAGTGCTGCGGAGCTCATGTCTGTGCTCTTCTTCAACGCCATGCGCTATAAAGCAGATGATCCTCGCAACCAGTGCAATGACCGCTTTGTGCTCTCAAAGGTTGGTGCTTGATGCAAATTCTACCTGAGCGTTGTTCATTTTTATTTAGTTGGCTGGTGATCACTCCTGGAAATTCTTCTGTAACTCTCATCAGGGTCATGCTGCCCCTGTCCTGTATGCTGCCTGGGCTGAAGCAGGTTTCGTGAAGGAATCTGATCTGCTCAACCTGCGTAAGCTCGACTGTGACCTGGAGGGGCACCCCACACCTGTAAGTTTCTGAAATTGACTGGAATTTTTTTTCATTAAACATGACTGGGAAAAATGTAATGGATGTAAAATGTAACCTTTCCTTTTTCAACTTACCTTGTTGTATCACAGAAACTAGCATTTGTTGATGTGGCAACTGGATCTCTTGGCCAAGGTCTTGGGGCTGCTTGTGGGATGGCCTATACTGGCAAGCATTTTGACAAAGCCAGGTAAGTCTTTATTTTTTAAAATTTTCATTGAAGATCTGAATTGAGGAACGATTAGAGTTAAAAAATTTTGGAATCTTAATCTCTTTTTCAGGTTCAATAATTGTTTTATTAATATTTAAATTGTCATAAATGCAATTTAAATTGTATTTTGCTGTGAGCCTTCCATAAGCATCTTAAGTAATGCTTTCATTACTTAAGAAAGCACATTCTTTGTGTGCAAAATGCCATGAATGTTCTCTGGGTCATCATGTGTTAAAGGCCAAAAGGTCTTACGACTAAGCAGCATTTGCTGTTTTAGTGTTGGCTAATGGTATTTAAAGTAAATTTAAATACCATTAGTTAGCATGGTAGTGTCCAGAGTAGGCATGGGTTGTTTACCAGTATCAAGATATTTAAAAAGTGATGCGGTTTGCAAACTGCAAAATTCAGTCATATCATTCATACTGCACAAACTGGATGGTGGGGCAGGTAGCCTGACTAGCTAGTGACTTTATACATTCTCAGATTTAAATTTTTGGCATGATGCAGTGAAACCATGTTATTCTTTGTCTGGATTATTGGATGATAATCCAATTCCAGGTCGTGTCTCGTATGAAGTTTTTCATCAGTCATGAATGAATTAATCTAGGACCTTATTCTACAGTATTTAAGATGCTTTTTGATAAAATACGATGTACATGTAATAACAAAAACAATTATCTTTACAAAATTTTGGGCATCTTTTTAAACTCAAACAATAATTCAGGACCCTTTTGATCTCACTAGCTGGTCACTGTCTTAACATGTAATTGTATAGAAGCCACAAATACTTCCTTTTTTCTCCTCTTCTTATTCATTGCAGCTATCGTGTGTACTGCATGCTCGGTGATGGTGAGTGTT